AAACATGCAAAAGCTTCACTTTTTCATCAAACTTTGCAATCTCGCAAAACAACAATTAATTCATTAAAAAAGCATTACTACTGTAAAAAGTGTGTTAGAAGACTCACCTGCGATGGCGCCTGTCGGTTCAAAACTTTTGACGAGTCTGGGAGTGTCTTTTATACTGAAATCTCTGGACACCACACAGGGGCAGCCCTCTTGTTAAGGTCACTGAGACTGTCTTCGAAGAATGACATCAGTTGGCTTAACCTTATCATCACAACTAGTGTCACCTTATCCTGTAGAATACAAAACAAGCTTTAAATGAAACCCCAGATCAAAATCGCAGATTCCTGTCCAGTATTCACCCAGCTGGTTAAGACTATCATTTTCACATCTCATAATGTCTTAATTTGTTCAAAGAAAGAATTGAAACATGCTGTATTTCTTACTAAAGGACTTTTCTTACATATGCAAAAATAAGGAATTAAGATACTACACAACATCTGAATCATGAATATTTGTGAATGTCGGATAGAAAGTCTTTTTACAGGACTATGGTCTCAAACTGTATGCACACATTTAAGTTTGTTGTGACATTAAACAAACCTTTGGCAGTGACATTGTTTCAAACATCTCTTGAGAATAGGGCCAAGAGTTTGGCTGAAGCTAATTAAGATCCCATTATGGTCCATTATGCTGTTGTGCTTTCTCTCCAAAGAAAGATGACGCCTAGGACGCTGTGAAAGTATTCTCTTGTGGTGTGATTAAGTTGCAATAAAAGGTGATATTCAATATGTCTGGCCTTTCTTTACAGTCGTATTAGGACTTAAAGCAAATATAGCCTTCAGTTCACAAATACCCAAGCTCATACTTTGCAATTGTTGACAAATGCATTGAACGCTTTTGTTAATTACATGTCAGATGTATTTCAGCATCCTGTTACTAAGCACCTCAGAAACAAATTCCAGGCTGAGTAGCTCCTTATTCTTGGTTCAGAGTATCAATATTGTTACTAGACCATAAACTCATCAAGTTCAGTTTAGTTCTGTATGGTGGTAAGTAGACATCTGTAGAAGTTTGTTTCTGTTCCTTGTAGTTTCATAAGTTCGGTGGGCGCATGGTGCTAGCATTACTTATTGTTTGGTTCCTGTGGGGGCCTCTGATGCTACAAATGCTTGTGCTGCAAGTATTTGGAAAGGTGTGCCACCCAAATGAGGTATGTGTAACTGTGTGCTCCATGGTCATATAGTTAATATAGTTTAGGAAATGAAAAAGCAATGTATCATACTTAATTGTAGTTGTCAATTGTAGTGTGTTGGTTGCCAATGGTGACACTAATAACAATGATCAGATGAGCTAATGCACAATTCAGTAAAAAAAATATAATCTTGAAAAATAGACATTGAATGAGAACATCTTGTGGTTTCACAATTGCGATTAATATCCATCCATCATTTAGTCACTAAACTAAACTATGCACAAAATTTTAGTGCATAGTTTATATTCCTGTATAACTTAAGTAAACATGCAGAGATGAAAGCATGTAATCACGTAACATTTCTTTTTTTTCATTTTTCATAACATATTTTTCACTGCAGTCTTACCAATGTAGTTGTAATGGATGGTCTTTATTATGTTGTGTAAGCCAGTACTGTAAAGGCCAGTGGTTGTTAATGTGTGTAATGCTGTAATACAAGAGGAGAAGACAAGGTAGGGATTCTGGTAAACACTGATAAACATCACTGTGCGCTACACTAGCAAATGAAGACACTGTATTGTATACAGGGAAAGGTCTGAGAGAAGGCGAATAACAAACAAATAAAAAACCTGAGAAGCTCACATGCACTATGAGATTGGAAGCAATATCTGACCAGTGCAGCTGCTCATTTCATATGAAAAAAAATAGCCAATATAATGTTAATAAGTGTTTTACTATTACAAGAGGCTTCATTTTTAAGTCTTCAATTGTATCCACTGTAGTAATTATTATTTTTAAAGAACCAATAATCAACTGCTAATATTTCCCTTAATGAAAACAATCCACTTAATAGAGCATCTGTTGGTCTTGGTAAACACTGTCCAGTCTTCAGAGTGGCAAAAACATTCCAAAGCTGCTAATATTCCCTTGTGTGTGACAAATAAGACATTTCTGTGCAGGTGCTAAGTAGCACATTGCAAATTTTGTTCTTGTGTGTGCATGGGTGTTTAAGTATGTGCGCGTGTGTGTGTGTTGGGCGTGTGTGTGTGTGTGTGTGTGTGTTACCATTTACTCTTGTAAGAGAGAAATTCAAATTAGTAAGAGCAGAAGGGGTGTGAGGAAAAGACTGTCAAAAAATTGAAGAGTAATTATTTTCTTTGCTGTCTTCTTGAGTCGACGCCAAAACAGATCAATTGCGTTTATAACACTGAAAGCAGAGTTTGAGAAATTTAAATACTTATTTTCAATTGGGCCTTCACTGTTGTTTGTTAACACCTGTGAAATGTAATGTACTTCATTGTGGCATTGCTGACTAATGATAACACTCTAAATTAGTTTGAGAGTATGTGCACATGTGTGTATCCATATCTTATTAATGCAAGTTGATGTGCTTTAATGATTCTTGTCATTTTTGGATTGTGTCCACATGGTAGAATGCACTTACTGCAAATTGCTTTAGATCAAGGCATCAGCTAAATAAATGGAGTATAATACATGCATTAAATTAGGGGTCTTTGAGGTTTTGTGTTGTTTACTACAACTTGATTGAGGTTAAACTACCAAAGTACAGTATTTTGTTAATATTATGGTATGGTCTCTGTCATCTGTGCAAAGATTGTAAGCTTCAATCATTGCATGAACTGGCATTAGTTGGGAGAGGATGAACACTTTTATAGTTTTCTCATTTGCTTAACACATTTCTTGGAATTATGCCTCATTTTGTCAAAACTCCTAACACAAACCCAATTCTCCAAACTTCCTATGTTCAGGTCAAAATGAAGCTCTCCACTACAACACTATAACATAGTCTTACACACTGGTGAGATAAATTCAAAGCAAAACTACAAAAACAGGTTATATGTAATGTTGCTTGTGGCTCTCAAAAATGTTTTACATAATGAACATAACTTCCTTCACGTCTCTCTGGATCCATTGTTCCAAAACTGAATGAACTGACTCTGGTCCTTTTATCTATCTTTTGACGGTTTCTGATTGGTGTGTGATCAATTATGAGTCCTTGTGTTTCTGGGCATTTGTGTGCTAATTGAGCTCAAGCTTTGCTGACTTGAGCAAAAATGATTGAATGTTAGAGCTTTCTAAATGACCACATGGTGTAGTAATGAGAAATGAAAGGATTTGTGTGTAGAGTTTTGCAGTGAAAGTTCAACAAATCTGAATCATGTGTCAAAACAGGGAGTAGTGCTTAAAGTTTAGGGAAATTGGTGTGCTTTTTGATGAATGGCTTATCGTTTTGAAATTTTGTTCAAAAGCCTGGTTATATTATTTAAGCAATCGAGAAAACTGTAGTGCCAAACTACTCATTTTAGTTGCTAAGTTGCTGAATGGTGCGCATTTGTGGATTTCGTGACGAGAGAGCACACTCAGGTAGGTGTGGAGATAAAGTGAAGGTAAGAAACCTGATGTCATGACATTTCATGAAATCAGTATCATGTCTTAAAATGAAGATTTGTTCAGTTTGTTGACCTGAGAATCAGGAACGCCAGGTAACTTCTGCTAATATCCAACTAATTCTAGACATGATGAGATGTAAGTGCATTGGGCTGACAGTGATTGACAGTTCATAAATTAATTTGGGAAGTGTGCTCACGCAAACACTCCGCCAAAGTAACCTTTTGTTTATGATTTATTCATTTGACTGAACCACCAATAACTATTTTATTTGAATTAGTAAAAAATTGCTTTTAACCTTCTGACAAAACAACGTTGCATAATTTTGATCGCAAATGTCAAAGGAGTTCATTGAGTGAAATGCCAAAGTTAGCTGTACTTCTGTTGTAATACGGAAAAGATTTTTTAACAAAGCACTTTCCTACATGACATATGTGTTTCAGTCATTTTCTTGAATACACTCTTCCAGTTGTGTGTCCGTTAATAAGGGATTATCAGCCACCAGATTGAGTACATTGTAATTTTAATTAACTTAAAATGTTTCATATGCCCATAATAAATAACTGGCATGTCAATCCAATTCAGTTTGTTGTCTTTGATTAGTTAAAAATATAATGTTTATGTTTATGTTTAATGTTTATTCTTTAATTTTATTTAAAGGTTTGCAAAGTAGTAGTGGATTTCTTTTATTCATAGGTTCATTCATATCTCACACATATGACACATTTGTACTACACTAGTAATTTCTGTCCCCTACAAGTAAGTGGTTCTCTACATTGGGGTACAGATGAGTATCCAGTTCTGCTTCACTTCCCATGTTTGCCCATTTATGAAAGAGCTTTCCCATATCACTGTGTTGCCAAGCCACATTTTTTCATCCAGGAATAGTTTCACAGTCGGTCAATTAATTATATTCGGAGAGGTGCGCACACCAATGCAAATAAAGGTAATTTGGATAATTTATAGAGAATTATTGTTTCATTGACAAAATGAAGTATATAAATACTGTAATATACAATAAAGACTTCATAGAGATTAGATACAAAATACAACTTGAAATACAACATACAGACACAGAGATTCCAACTTTATTAGAGAGATTACAGGAAAACTGTTATACAACAGTATACCCTCAGCTATCTCTCAGACTTTTCTGTGATGTTTCTGTCAGTTCACATGGATTGGCAGAGGTGCCACCTCACTCAGATCCCCTTTCTTCTCTTCTTCCTTCACTTCCTCTGTGGATAAGCAATAATATAGCATCAGTTAGTTGGTTTGGAATTGTACAAATCCAGCAAAAACGCACATGGCATTTAGCAAGCTACTAATAATTTTACATTATGAAATGGTTAAAAGGGACACTCTTACTTACACTCACACTTATGTTAAAACACAGCCTGTTGTACAATGTTTCTGTGGCTCTGGAGGAGCTTTGCAAAGTTTGTTGATATCTTCAGTTTTATCAGCTGGTGCTTAAGATAAAAATATTAACAGAAATCCTGTGTCACAATTAGGAAATATAGAATCCTGTGATTCTGGAGGTTGACTGGTGACTAAAAGTTTAAAAAAAATTATGTCTGCTTCTTTGACTGTGACAATTCTTCTTTTAAAGGATAGTTTCACAATTTTCATGTATGTCTTTAAACCAAAGTCACACGCCAACATGAATATTAAACAAAAACAGTTGTGTGGAAAAACAAGTTCATCTTTAGATACACTTTGTAATCTTTTTACCAAAAAGAAGGACTTGTCGCCCGTCCTTACACTGAAAGTGCATTAGGAAGGCATCTCTTAATAGGAGGAATGATTAAAGCAAGCAATAACTGTTTCAATGTACACGCAGTGAACCCAATATTTTCATCTCTTGTGAGTTCCCCAACATTAAGGAAGTGCATTTCTAAATCGCTGGAGCAAAAACATAACGGCTATGTTCACTATTGCCCCCTTGGGACAGACGGGCTACTGATGCCTGAGTGAATTAATTAATGAGAATTCAAGCATCTATTCTGGGTGTATAGAGTAGAAGTAGTAGCAGTAGTAGTAGAGTTGAAGCTTCCTGCCGTGCAAGAAGCACAGACATAAACAGTGATTTCTGACTTGTAAGGACTCTGAAACAGTATATCAGTGACTGTTCTATGGTTCCCCAAACATGGCAAGGGCCTACTGTTATGCCAGGGAGCATTAAAAAGATGCGTCTAACTACTGCTTCTAACTACTGACTACTGAACCAACTCTTAAAATGTTGCTCCCATCTTCACAATTTATGACAGCCCTTATTGCAAAAATCAGGCACAGTGCTGACATGTATGCACTTCTAAACATGAGTCACAATTAAACAAATATAAATAAAAATCTTTAAATGTGTCATACCATATGTTAAAAGGTTATGATGGACTGTCCAGCGTGTTTCCCTGCCTTCTGTCCAATGCATGGTGAGATAGATGTGAACAAGCCTCTGTGAACCTGAGCAGGAAAAGACAACATATATTTACATAAGTTAATTATTATTTCTAAATGGGTACTTATATTATAGATTATAGTATACTTTTGCATTTAATGGTCGCACAGCATGAGTTGGTAGAGAGAAGTATCCAATACATTCCATCAAACTCATTTTTGACAGCTATTTCCGGTCCCCCCACCCCACCGGATGTCTGTATGTAACTGATAAGAGGGGGGGCATCCGGTCCCGCCCCAACCGGAAATATGGCTGTATGTAACTGATAAGAGGGGGTTCATCCTGTCCCACCCCAGCCGGAAATATGGCTGTATGTAACTGATAAGAGGGGGTTCATCCTGTCCCACCCCAGCCGGAAATATGGCTGTATGTAACTGATAAGAGGGGGTTCATCCTGTCCCACCCCAGCCGAAATATGTCTGTATGTAACTGATAAGAGGGTTGCGTACATCCTTCCATTGTGTGTGTTTTTCATTGATTTAAAGACTTTATTAAGTAATACAACTTGAATGAATTAACTAGGAGGTGTTTGTGACAATAAATTTATCATTAAAAAAGTATAGCAGTGAGTTATAAGTAAAAGGAGGAATCTCCGGGGCCAGCAAAGGATCAGTAGGAGGTTTCTTTGGAATCAAGTCAGTCTTTATTATTAAACAAGTGAAGAATAAATTGAAATAATGACAGCAAAGCAGTAAAATGGTATAACTGTGAGTAAAAATTAAGCAGCATTATAAATTACCTTCAACAGCATGCAGCAAAATAAGAGTGAGTTCCAAAATTAAACTTTGTAAAATCTTTGCTAAAGCTTTGTGTGAAACTTACCATCATTAAAGAACTAAAGAATAAGATGAAATAATTACAGTAAAATAGTATAACAGTGAGTTAAAATTAAACAGCATTTTTAATTACCTTCAAAATCTTTGCTAAAGCTTTGTGTGACAAACTTACCATCATTAAAGAACTAAAGAATAAGATGAAATAATTACAGTAAAATAGTATAACAGTGAGTTAAAATTAAACAGCATTTTTTAATTACCTTCAAAATCTTTGCTAAAGCTTTGTGTGACAAACTTACCATCAGTAAACAAGTGAAGAATAAATTGAAATAATGACAGTAAAGCAGTAAAATGGTATAACGGTGAGTAAAAATTAAACAGCATTACAAATTACCTTCAACAGCATGCAGCAAAATAAGAGAGTGTTCCAAATTACTTTGCTATTGCTTTGTCTTACAAACTTGCCATCATTATCACTCCAAAGCTGTAGCCTAGAGTTTCCATTTAAATTACCTTCAACAGCATGCAGCAAAATAAGAGTTAATATAAGAGAGTTCCAAAATTAAACTTTGTAAAATCTTTGCTAGTGCTTTGTCTTACAAACTTGCCATCATTATCACTCAAAAGCTGTAGCCTAGTCTTAAACTTGTGAGTCTTAAAACTTTAATCCTTCTAGAGTCTGTGTCTCCTTCTCTGTCCTCTCTCTTTCTGGTGTAGCATAGGCTGTGGGGTGAATTGAGGAATGTGCTCCACCCCCGGACCTCCTTCCATCCCTCCCCTCCCTCTGTTTTCTCAATGAGCCACATCAAGTTGTGTGTTTTAACTGTCATTAGCATCTTCAGGTAATCTTGTAGACCAGTTATGGAATAGAGTTATCTATAACCCCAGACTCCGGTTGTTAAAAACGGTCTGGGTTTATCAGACAGAGTTCGTTTTCGAAACAGGAACCTTTTTATCAGCCGGAGACAAGAGTTTGGAACTGCAGACTATCTAATAATCTGGTTGTACCAGAAGTAACGGCCCCCAGCCCCTCACCAGTTATTTCCCACATGCTGTCACATACAAAATAAGAGGGTGGGCAGAGTTAGCCGTGAGCCAATGATAAGAGACTAGGAGGGGTTACCATAGGCCAATGATGGGAGTCTGTGAAAATAAAACCAGAACATTGTCTTCAAGAAATTGCCAAGAGGGCACTTGGATCCTTGAGCAGTATCTACCTACCAAAGAGGGGACCTCCATGCGGTTAATTTTTTCAGCTAATGAGTGTTTGTATCTCTTAAAGACTTCTTGTTTCTTTCAAAAATGGAAATTTTAACATCAGTGTTAGTAATATTTAAACATTTCTCTGTGATCCAAAAATATTCAGGGCCACTTTATTGAGAATTTACAGTTTTACCTGTTATTCAGAAATAACTTGGATGCATGCACAAATATCAAGGATTGCAGTATTAGCAGCAAAAGGTACTTTATCCAGGGTTCAATTATATAAAATGTCTTATTACACTAGTGCAGTCATTTAAACTTTCTCTTCAGGTTTGTCTGTGGTGCTTGGTCATTTGGTGAAGTAGGCCTTTTTAAAGGGCCTTCATCTTTATCTTATTTTGTATTTGCTCTTCATAATTATAAATTAGGACTAAAATGCTCAGCAGCATGATCCTATTTTTTAAGTAATCACTAAAACAGGTTTATCAACTTTTACTAAACCTTTGGTAAATTCTGTCCCCAAATATTGTGAAATGAAATTGACCAGTTATAGACAAGATTTCTATCAATTTTGCAATGTACTTGTTTCTTCAATCTAAATTTTATAGGATTGCTTTATTTATTGACTGCATTACAGAAACGTCCATTGTTGGCTGGCATGTAATGACACGGAGTTCCCTCTTAGTTCCTTCCTAGCTAGCATGGAGCGACACTCCAGCATGGATGAATAAAGAATGGGGTATTTCTATTAAGAGAATATTGTAATCTAAACTAAATATTTAATTTTTAGTTACACTTACAAAATAAGGACAATTCTTATGTAGCAAAAAAAAAAACTACAAGTGTTAACAGCGTCCAAATAACTCTAAATGTAGTCTTTCAGTAACATATAGACTATGTCCCTCATTCTAAACTAAAGCCTTACTCATAACTAAGTCACTAGTCATGCTAATAGGCCTTCTCTTTCCCTTTAGTAAAAAAAGCTAGAATTATAAAAAAATATATAGTTTACAACTTCATCAACTGGAAACTTCAAGAGCTAAAGTTTGATCCAGCTGCCTTTTGCTAATTAGGGTTAGACTATTACAGAGGTCATGAAATCCAGAACCCTTCCCTTGGGGATGAAGTATTCAAATGCTAGTTAGCTACTTTGTTGACATAACAGGACAGTAGTTTTCTGTGATGAAAATAAAACAGAAGGTTATAATAAATCTCCTACAGGTAAAAGAATAAAAATAAGCTTCTTTATTTCGGCTCAACCGTGATCTGTGCTAATAACACTTATTGCACGTTCCAAAGCTCAACAGGAACCAGCAGCTTCAACAACAAAAGTCTGTAACAATATCTATCATATGGCTTTTTATTTTTATGTAATGCCCAGATTTACCACGGGGTTCTTGACTAGCCAGAACAGGATGTTCAGCAGTCTTACACTGTTTCATTGCAGGTCTTGCATTCAGCCATAGTGGCTAGTTTGCCCTTGACAATAAGGTTTTAGTAAAAAGTCTCATCACTGCTGCGACCTCTTTTTTGAGACCATGCTGTTTCTATTTTTTTTTCTAGTGTCCCCTTCCATAGCATTTTCAGAGACACTACAAAAGAGGAAAACAGATTGCCATCGATAACCCAAACTCTAGGGTTAACTCGTAATTTTCATTACATTTGTTATGTAGTAAATCTACAACTGCAAAGCAATTTAGTGATCCCTACCATGTAGTGATCAAATGTCAATGCTCTCTCTCTCTTCCCCATATTTAAAATGTGTAAACTAATACCGCAAAACTCATCAGGATCAATCTTCTATGTGTAAGTTAACATGTTGCAAATTTTACCCTTGCTACTAAGAGTTAGTACAGGACATGCAACATTAGTCCTCATTTTCCGAGCTGCTTTCTGAGCTGCTTTTGTCAAGCTTTGTGAGACGTGAAAACATTAATTTCACCCCCACAATGTTTCTACATCACTGAAAAGAGCATGTGAAAATCTAGTTTTGGGGAGAAGTCTGTTTTTGCTTGTGATAAGCTACCCAAATGGCACCATCAAAACTTCTAGTTTCACATTTAAAAAATCCTGCCCCCGCCTTCATACTATTTACCTGTTTTGTGAAGCACATGCAGGAAGGATTGAATTACAATCAGCAGTGGTTTTACATGTCAACATTAGGTTATTGCAGAACAACAAAGAAGCCCCTGCTGTGAAGAAGCATTTTGAGTAACAGAATTACATATCATGACAAATACATTAGTATGTACCACCGGTTGTTGTGGCACTAAAAACTGAGTTGATGCTCACTATGACTCTGAACTGATAGTAAAACACATACTTTTGTATTTGTATTGTGTATTTACCATGGGGTTCATGCCCTTCCCTTCTCATGTTCGCCTGTTTGTACCTCTCGTCTGTGTTCTTGTTACACGGTGCAAAAGAAAAAATCTTATCCATTCTAACCAAAACAATACATATGTATAAATATTTACAACTTTACTACAAGTGTTATGTCAGTTACAGGATATTATAAATCTAAAACTTCAAAGCAATGTTAATTACATTTTCATTAGCTTCAGAGTTTTCTACAGCAACTGGCTAGGAGGTGTATCAAGTCATCTGGAAAGGGACATCATGAAAGTGATGGCAATTTTTAGTGAAGTTATATGTTATGGGCACTTATCTGACCAAATACCAGTCTAAAGTGAAAAGGGCAAATGCTTGAGTGACAAAAACAATGCAAAGCAGGAGAGCAAGAGTCAGAGAGACCAAACTGACATAGGTTTATATGGGGACAAGCAGCTGTACTGTCCAACAAAATACTAATGAAGACACTAATTTTAAATTTAAAGTTTGGTGATGTTGACACTGACTTGCATTAAAATAGCTTTAAAAGCGGCTTGCTAGTTAAACATTTCTATTGGGGCATACCTGTAGAGATGTGCCTTCCAGAGCGGTTTTAATATATCGGGGTGGAAAATAAAAACACGTATTAAGAATATATTAACATAATAATTTAATAGAAATACGGTAGCTTTGCT